AAAACCGGAGGGATGAGACCCATTCTCGACCTGTCTATGTTCAACAATTTGATCATGGAGAGACAATTCCACATGCTGGCAATCAAACAGCTGCTGGAGAACTTCACCAGAATGACTGGTTCACCTCCATAGATCTGAAGGGTGCATAATTTCACATGTCCATCATTCTGAAACACAGGAAATTCCAGTGTTTTTCTCCACCAGAGGATTTCGTATCAGTACAACAGGCTACCGTTTGGTATTCCCTCGCCCCACGCATGTTCTCAAAATGTGTGGAGATGGCTCTGCAGCCATTACACATGGCAGGAATGAGAATTCTTTTTTATCTGGAAGATCTGCTTTTATTAGATCAGTCCAGGCAGGAAGCAGCTGCGCAGACCAAACGTTAGCGTTACACCTGCTAAACCTGGCTTTTCTATAAACTGGGAAAAGTTCAGTTCGCCCGTCCCAGATGATTGTTTATCTGGGAGTGGAGCTAAACTCAACCACAATGAGAGCCTGTTTATCACAGCCGAGAGCAGAAGCTCTGTAAGTTCATCTCCGCCGTGTCAAACCCGGCAGCGTAGTGACAGCTCTGCCTGTCATGCAACTCCTGAGACAGTGTCAGTGGCCCACATTGTGGTTCCGCTGGGCCTACTTCACATGAGATGCCTTCAGAGATGGTTCACCCGCCTGCGCATAGATCCTGTGCGCTAGAAGAGGCGGATTATCTTTGTGCCCCCCACCGTGAGAACCGATCTGAATCACTGGGGAAACCTCCTTGTTCTGTCAGAAGGAGTTCCCATCAGCAGGCCTACGTCACATGTCTCAGTTTTTCACAGATGTGTTCCTGTCAAGCTGGGAGGAATGTGTCTGTCCCAAGCAGTGGGAGCACAGTGGCTGGACCACATGTCGCTTTACATAATGTGTTAGAATGTTTTCACAGTCTGAAACATGACTCAGCATTTTGCCCCCTTCTACAGGATCAGCATTTTCTGATCCACACAGACAACAAAGTGTCGACAGTTTACATATACCATCAGGGAGGTGTGCGCTCAGCCCAACTGTTACGCATCGCGAAACAGCTGTTGTGTTGGGCACACACAGAAACCTGCTCTCCATCAGTGCAGTGTACATTCCCAGCATCCTGAACAGGCGAGCGGATATCATGTCGAGGGGTGGTCCCCGCCATAGAGACTAGAGCCTCCATCCCGAGCTGATCTCTCGGTTTTTGGAGCAGATTCGGTCGAGCAGCAGTGGATCTGTTCACCACACGCTCCTGCGCATGGAGCACACAATTACGCAGCACGTAATTACGCACACAGAAGGCTGAGTGATGAAATGTTTTTTGTGCAAGCAGGTGCTTCATGTTGTGTCTGAGTGGACCCAGTGAGGCATATACTACATTCTGCTTGGCCTTTAACCCACTAGCAATAGACTTAAAGGGCGAAGCCTATATGAAATAGAACGTTGGTTACGTACTGTAATCCCAGATTCTATGAGTATAGGCGCAGCCCTTTAAGCTCTGGGCCTCACTGGTTCCTAAATGGTTGAAGAAAAAAGCTATTTGGGAGCCGATTACCCGGTCTCACCATAATTTATATGGACTGGGGATGAGGCCCACACAGCAGGTGGGCCTGGACTAAAGTTTTCAGTACTGCGCTGTGCGCGAAGGGATAAACCCACTAGCAATACCCTTAAAGGGCTGCACCTATACTCATAGAATCTGGGGTTACAGTACGTAACCAACGTTTCCACCCTCGTGTTGTCCAGGTGTTGGATTGCCTCCCTGTGTGTATAAGTTTGTGTCCTTGTGTTTATATTGTCCTGGCATTGTCTCCTGTTACCTCTTGCCTCCTGAGTTCCTAATGATTCCCTGCGTATGTAAGTTTGCTGCCCTGTCAGCTATTTTGTGTTCTTTATATTAAAACATTTTGGAGGAACTGATCTTCTGATGAAGATTAGTTCCTCCAAATCCGAGGCCATGGTCTTGAGCTGGAAAAGGGTAGAGTGCCCTCTCTGGGTCAGGGAGGAGGTCCTACCCCAAGTGGAGGAGTTTAAGTATCTTGGGGTCTTGTTCACGAATGAGGGAAAAATGGAGCGTGAGATCGATAGGCGGATAGGTGCAGCGTCTGCAGTGAAGCAGGCGCTGTACAGGTCTGTCGTGGTGAAGAGAGAGCTGAGTCAAAAGGCGAGGCTCTCAATTTACCGATCGATCTACGTTCCTACCCTCATCTATGGTCACGAGCTTTGGGTTGTGACCGAAAGAATGAGATCTTGGATACAAGCGGCCGAAATGAGTTTTCTCTGCAGGGTGTCTGGGCTCTCCCTTAGAAATAGGGTGAGAAGCTCGATCATCCGGGAGGGACTCAGAGTAGAGCCGCTGCTTCTCCACGTCGAGAGGAGCCAGTTGAGGTGGCTCGGGCGTCTGTTTAGGATGCCTCCTGGATGCCTCCCTGGTGAGGTGTTCCGGACACGTCCCACCGGGAGGAGACCCAGAGGAAGACCCAGGACACGCTGGAGGGACTATGTTTCTCGGCTGGCCTGGGAACACCTCGGGATTCCCCCGGAAGAGCTGGCCCAAGTGGCTGGGGAGAGGGAAGTCTGGGCATCCCCACTTAGGCTGCTACCCCCGCGACCCGACCCTGGATAAGCGGAAGAAAATGGATGGATGGATGGATGGATGGATGGATTAAAACATTATTATTTCACCTGCCGAGTTGTCGTGCTGCCTGCACCTTTGGGTCTGAAACACCACAGATCGTGACAAGTTCATGGCATAATTTTAAACAAATATTTTGTACAATAGCACTCAGAAAGTGTTGGGGACCAGTCTCAGCTACTACCACAACAAAGTTTAGCAATTTATAAAACTGACTGAGTTATAACAATTTTTTTTATGAATTGGGTGTTGATTTGTGTTGACACCAAACGTTATCACTTGTAGAAGTATAATGATTTCTGAATGTTTTATTAAAATGTGTCTTCTAGTTAACGAGGTATTTTGGTATCAGACAGCTACGTGAACACACACACAGATGTACACACACGCAAAAACATTTAAAACATGTCTTCACTTTTTGGCAGCGAGTGATAATTAAGAATAAAGAGAACAAACACCAAACAAATCATAGAAACTCAAATGAGTGAAGAAACTGTAAAATAATAATAATAAAATTTAATTTCTGTTTCAGGTTCTGGAGCTGCTGCTGCTGTCTCAGTGTTTGAGGACAGATTCAAAGCAAACATGGAGGTAAGAAATGTGTGTGTGTGTGTGTGTATGTGTGTGTGTGTGTGTGTGTGTAATGTATACATAGATTAATCATGAATGTAGTACTCCCTACCACCTTGAGCATACTTGTCTTTTTTATATATTCTGCTTTTTGATTATTTTGTATACAGATCAGGTCCAGTAGCTGACAGTAACCATTAAGCCTTTCAATACAAGTATATAGCCTCAAAAAACAATAATTTCACTCTTATCCTTTTTATTTTGCTATACACTATAGCTTTTGCTAAAGCAACAGATGTCTCCTGAGTAATGGAAAAAAAGCTGCAGTATTTTGTTTTCATTACATTTATTTTTCAGCTCTGAAGTCAACACGACCAGTAATATCAGTAATATTGCACTTTTTTCTACCTTTAAGCTGGAGGATGCAAAGCAGATTGTAAGAGACGCCATTGCTGCAGGGATATTCTGTGACCTGGGTTCAGGCAGTAATGTGGACCTGTGCATCATAACTGAGGCCGGAGCTCAGTTCTTGCGAGGTTATGACAAACTCACACAGAAGGGGAAAAGGTGAGCGTGGTTAGAACTGTGCACAATTTACAAATATTTTGTGATTAATCTCAAGCAACTACTGACATGTACCAGTGTTTTTACTATTTGTAAAGAAATCCATGTTCATTTTTTATGCAGTACATTGTGTTTCTAAAAAGAATAGAGCCATGAAAAAAGATCTACCCTCTTTCAATTTTAGGAAATTATCAGGATATAATGCTAAAAACGATCTAGTCTTTACCAGGAACTGAAATGATTTACATTTACCTCAAGTGTACAAAAATACATAACAGATTCCATTTAACTGGAGCCACAATGAACAAGGCTTGCAGACTTTTGTCTCTCTGCAGTTATTCAGTGTCCCACCGCAGCATTTCTGTCAGGTTGAGGTCTGGATTTTGGCTGGACCATTGCAACACCTTGATTTGTTTCTTTTTTGGCCAGTTTGTTGTAAATTTGCTGCTCCATTCTCCTGTTTCATGATCCAGTTTGGTTTAACTTTCAGCAGTCAGAAAGATGACCTCACATTTGACTCTAATATTAGGTCGACAGAGGAGTTCATGGTCAACTCAGTGGATACAAGGAGCCCAAACCACCTGCCTTCCACCACCGTGCTGCACAGTTGCTGTGAGGTGTTTATGCTGATGTGCTGTTTGGCTCTTGTCAAATGTAGAGCTGTGCATTATTGTCATATATCTCTGGTCATGTCATGTATCTAGACACAAATTTGCTAATTTAAGTTGTGCTGCCACGTTCCTTTTAGAGAGAAGATGATTTCTCCTGGAAACCCTTCCAAAATGTACTGTCATAAACTTTTCAAGTCTTGGGAGATTTGTAACAGTGTTACATTTTTTTTACACATGTGCATCATGTGTGGATTGATGGACTTCAAATGGAGCATACACTCCAGAGCAGCAACATGACCAAACTCCTGCTTTAAAAGAGCTCTCACACTAATGTTGATCACTTAATTGTGTATTTGATCAATACTGGCTGATAATGTCTCTAATAAATCATGCATATCGTCCATCAAACAACAAGAAAGGACTTGGATTTTCTAACACACAAC